AAACTTGAACAAGGTGCTTTTCACCCTCTTGTCCAAATCGCCGGTGAAGAACATATAGGCTAGGAACAGAAATTACAGATAGACTGGTTTTATCTGTAGTGATAAGAAACTGGTTCAAATCTGTAATACAACAGAAGTTCAGTGTATGTAAACTGCTTGCAAAATGGCTATAACCGGTATAATCTGGATGGATGTAGTATTAGACTTAAGTGATTTAGGTTAAATCAATTTATTGAACTTCTGTCCCAGATCCCCTCCAGATTCAAGTTTAACTCAGTCCCCCAGCATCCTAGGATGCCATGTACCTCTCCCCCAACATCCCACCCCCCCTCCACGCCTCGCAGGGTGGGTGGGCAGGCTAGCTTTGGCCCAAGCTGTCTGTTCTAATGGAGCAGGGAGGTGTGCTCTAGTGCCCCCTGGCATTCGGCTTGGGCCATTGAAGGCAAGTGAATATCTGTTCACTTGCTTTTCAGTTCAATCTACACAGCTTAGACCAACCTGTGAAGACTGAATTGATTCTGCCTCTAGCTTTTTGGCTGTCTGTACTTAGCCTTAAAGGCTTGTCTTTACCAGGAATTTTTGCACTGGTATAGTACAGCAATAAAAATATTATTTTTGTGTACGTTCAAAGGTTGCATTCTTCCTGGTGTTTTTTGCAATCTTGGGCATAAGAGTTGGGCTTTACTATAGCAATACAGCTTTTAATGAGAATCAATTTGGCAAGGTGTGTGTGTTTGGTTTTTTTGCTCTCTTGGGTCTCCTGAAGAAGATCTGATAATTAAAAAATGTGCCTTGAAAATCTCTAATAGGTTTTTATCAAAAACTAATCTGATACAAGCAGTTTTTTCAATCAAATTGGAGTAGGCTGCTAGAAAAGTTCTATTTTGTGCCGTAAGAATGGCAGCATGGTCACTTAACCTCCTGCACTTTACATGAGGGGGTTATGAAAGGTCTGATCTTCACTACTGGATTGGGAGCAGGAGCTTCTCTGTGGAGGAGAGAGGAGTGGAAGGATCTTTCACTGTCTTGCTCTGACTGAGTCAGGGTGGATATGCACCTTTATAGATTAACTAAATAAGATCTGTATATCGAGCACAGACTTTCATGAACCTAAGGCCAGTTGGGTTCACAAAACCCTGTGCTATATAGATCTTGTTTAGTTGGTCTCTAAAGGTGCATATCTAGCCTGCTTTCTGACTGACTTCAGACTAACACAGCTAACTACCTCTTTCTGGCTGAGTTAGCCACAGCTGAAGAAGAGAAGGCAATAATCCCTTTGGAATTCAGCATTTAACAACTTTCCAGCAGGAGATTATTGCCAAATTCCAAGACTATTAGCATAGCAGAACGTAACTGTACAAGTGGGTGGGGAGGACTTTATGAGTTGATGAGTCTTCATTATGATCAAAGTGAATATCCACTGATGTGCCGTAAAGCGATTCAGGCCTTTCATTGTGGAGGAGGACAAACTCTTTCTGATCGCTCTTTTAATAACTGCTCTCTTTTCCAGGGGTGTAACTGTAGGGGAGGGACTGAGGCAGCAGCCACAGGTGCCATCTTTTGGCAGAGGAGGGAGTGGGGGGGTCCAAATATACCCACTGCTGCAGCTGGAGGCTGGCCACGCTGCTGACACTGCCCTGTGCACTGGTGCTGCCCATGGAATGTAGTTGCTTTTTTTATACCTCTGTTCTTTTGCTGTGTGTTTATGTGAAACACAAACCAGAAAAGTTGCCTGTGTATGTGTATATGTTTGGTTTTTTTCAGTCTTGTTCAGCACACAGAGAGAGCCATTCATACACTGTTACGGAAGTAAACGGCCTTCTCCACTGCTAGACTAAGGTTTACAGAAGCATCACAAAACCTAGCCAGTTGTGGCTTCAAACCTGACGCTTTCAGCTGACCATATTTGTAAACTCTTTTATCTATAGAAAAGATTGTGAAGACTGGAGTAAAAATGGAGTTCCTTAATAATAGAGTGGCCACTAGAACAAAATTTTCTATCTGCTTGGTGTTTGTGTGCAACACAAATCCATTGTTAGATATGGATTTGACCCCTTGACCTAATCTCAGTCCTCAGAGTTTACTGAAATTTAGCCCCTAGAAACCAAGTGGAACACCTTAAAATCTTATGATTTAAGAACTGTTTTGTGGTATGTTGTAGAAAGTGGACAAAACCACTCTTCTTCCCCCTCCCCCATTGCTTTTTCCCTGATCTTTTGTTTGAATGTGAAAAGAAAGTGTCCTGCTTGTGAACTATTGCACAGCAGCACAGGAGGACCTACCACTCTGGATAGGTCAGGGAAAATTCCATTCCCTGCCTTTGGCAGCCTGTGGAGTGCTACTTTCATTGCTATAATGATACAATCTACCCCATTACCATGGTTGTGCTTCCTTTCCACCTAATGAAGTTAAGAGAACCAGAGGCCAGATGCAGGTAAGCTAACACTGTGGTAGTCTGGAATGTGCTTACTTCCCATGTACTGCTGCCACCCTTCCTTGATACAGGCTAGAACCAGGAAAGAATATAACTTAGCTTACCTTAACTAACATAACTGGCTCAGTCTGAACTGGGTCAAGAACAGCTAAATGATGCCTTAGGAGTTCTGCCTTTTGTAGTATCTATGTATTAAGTTAGCAGCCAGTCCAAGTTTTTGTGATATAAGTTGCTTGCTCTCAACGCAGAGGAACAAATAAGTCTATAATATTAAATACAAGCCTTTCATGAGTCAGAAACAAAAATCTGTTTTTCCTATAATGTTTATTTTAAAAACAGTCTGTGTGATGTTAGAGCAGTGGTGCTTAACACTCATGTGCATGCCAGATGAATGGCATGGGGTTGATCTCCAGGCCTGATCTTGTACACGGGGTTGGTCCACAGGTGCAGTTTGATCTGTTGGGTCATGTTATCTGGCCAGAGGACTCCCCACAGGTCTGGAAATTTGGCAGTAGGATGAATGACATGGCAGTGTTAATTGACGTGGCCCTGGGAGCTGAGGCAATTAAAGCTGCCATTTCTTCCCCCAGTGCCAAATTTCCAGACCTGTGGGGAACCCTGTGAGCTGCATGATATGGCTCTGCGGGCCAGATCTGGCCCTCAGGATGGATCTTGGTGAACTCTGGTGTACAGTGGTCAGAGAACACTGAAATTCTACAGCATGTCTAACTCTGTTTCACTCCTTTAGCAAATTATCTTCTGTTTTTCTTTATTTTTTTAAGTCATACTTCTCTGTCCTTCACTTTCATTTTACTTTGTATTCTAGGTACTGGGAAAAGGAGGTCCAAAAAGCAAAAAAAGCAGCAAGAACACCACATTTAACCAAAGCAATTATACTGTGTTATTGGAAATCCTATCTAGTCTTTGGGCTCTTCACGTTAATTGAGGTAAATGATGACAATATGGTAAAATATAACTTTTTCCCTTATAGCGATGTGAAATGTAGTCTGGTCCAACTGGTGTTTGGTGAACACTGGCAACTTTGTTCTGGGACCTGCTTTTTCCCTACTTGATTTTTACCTGTTACAAAATAGCAGCTCTGATGCGATTTAAAAAAAAATATTTGATGGCTTGGAGTATTTTTCAAAAGTTTGTGTTGGCATATTTTTAATATCAAAGGTACCTCTTCTGGAGTACATCAGTAAACAAACAGTCATCTGGTTTCTTGTAATGTTGTAAAACAAATTAACAAGGTGAGCTACAGTGCTGGTAGTTCAAGTTCTTATTTGGCTTGATACTCAATATAAAATCTCTCTCTCTTTCCCTCCCTTTTTTTCTTTCTTTCAGGAGACCCTCAAGATAATACAGCCAATATTTTTGGGAAAAATTATTAATTATTTTGAAAATTTTGATCCCCTTGACACTGTTGCTTTGAATTTTGCCTATGGCTATACAGCTGCTTTGTCTGTGTGTACACTAATTCTAGCTATAATGCACCACTTGTACTTTTATCATGTGCAACGGGCTGGCATGAAGTTGAGAGTAGCTATGTGCCATATGATTTATCGGAAGGTAAGCAACCTTTTATGTTTTAAAATGTATATAATATGTTGGCTATTTGATTCTAGTAGCTGGTCATAATAAATATTTGCATTCCTTAGTTATTATCCTTTATTCCTTATTTATTATTATTTTTGCAATAGTATTGATGTTACTACATTTGATAGAATATAATGCATATTAATATTGTCTTAGAATGAACTACTGGGTTCAGAAGATTGCTTGTGCTTGAACAAATGACTTACTCACGGTTGTTTTCACTTTTGCAAAGCTTTGTTTAAGGATACTCGCAGAGGCAGTCAATAGAACAGAGCAGAGAGGACGGTCACTTCACATTGGATTTAGGCGGCAGCCGCCACCCCACATGGTTCTCTTGGCTCTAGAGTGTTCTGATCCTGGGGATGCAATAGCCTGTGCCGGGGCTCTGCGCAAGTCGGAACTCTTGCTAGAGCTGAGGAACTCATTGTAACTTAAGAATGTACAGTTTATATAGTCTGCAGTAAACAACGTTATCTTGAGCTAAGGATTTGGTTATCTCAGGCTAGGAATTTGGGGTTGAGTCATGATCTAACACATTCTGCTGTATTACAACATTTTACTATCTAGGTTCATGGTTCGGTTACGCTCACAGAGCAGGAGGCTACATGCCACTTCACCGGCTTACTATGGAATGAGCATGCAAAACTCTTGCTATTAGCAAAGCTCTTACTATTACAAATATAAATTAGGGTTACCATACAACTGAGTGTCCTTCATACCATGCTGAATATGGAATCTACTTGGGGCTACTACTTGTGGTAGGAAAGGAACCTAAAGACTGGGGAGAATCTGCTGATTGTTATCTGACCATGCTGTTGTGATCTAGAGGTGTAGTGGGACAGAGTACCAAGCTCTGGAATGGGGGAAATAGAGTTCATGACTGGATATACTGGAGCCTAGCTGTTCCTGATGCCTCAAATTGCATGTTGGGGGTGTTCATGGGAAGGGGCTTGCCTGCCTCCTGGTATCCAGAAGGGAAGGGCAGTAGGGGAACTTTTGGGCACTCTCAACCTTGTCTCAGTTTAAAGCCTTTCTGGGCTTTTAGGGGCTGCTTTGCCATAGGCCTGCCCTGCCCTTGATGTAACTGTGTTCTTTTTGGAACAGGGTAAGTCTGATTAATGCCTGCCTCTCAAATCTGGACGATTTCTGGAGATTTATTTATTTTTTTCCTTTTAGACCAATTTGTGGATCAGTAGTCCATAAGCTGTTTTTCCTTCCTTTCAGCACTGGAGGCATAGCTTTTGTTAAAAGGTGCAAGAATGAACAATCTAATTTTAAGAGGACTGCAGAGCTGTCTGAGACCACTTGTAGATAAAGGCTAGAAAGACCAGCTCCCAGAGTGAGGAGACATGGGATATGGCTGGGGGACCTTTCACTAGCAGACTGACGTCCCCCTTGGGTACTCTCTGCCCTCCTGATTGTGGGAGGATGAGACACTTCAGAAGAGGATGGAGTCTGTGGAAAATCTTGTCAGTTGTATGATGGGAGTGCTGACATGCTTCACTGGTCCCAATTTAAATGCTTAGTATTTGAGAAAGAGAAGAGCACCCTATGCCTACCCTATTGTTAAGGCATGGGCCTGCTGTTTAAATGTTGCCCTTGTGTTTGTTTGCCTTCACTTGTTTGTCTTTATCCGACGTGAAGCAACCTGCATCTGAAAACCCCTCAGCGTTGTTAGGTAATAACCAGTGGGGCAGAAAGAACAGGTGTTATTACTGTAGGGCTGCAGATGGAGGAAGCTGCTTCTGCCTACCTTGTGTAGCTCTTGAAGCAGCAGCCTTGTGGCTTCTCTCCCTTTATCTGTGATTTGAGGGCACACCCAAGTCTTCAGGTCTGTTTTCACTTCTGCTTCCCAAGCAGAAATCCTGTGGGGAGGTATCAGAGGGGAGAATGATCTGTCCATCTAGTTAGGGGCTCTGGAGAGAGCCAATTTTAATTTTCATCCTCCCAAGTTATTGGAGTGGTGCCTGTTCAGTATTTGATTAGTAAAGGAATTTGGCAAGGGTTAGGTATTTCAACTTGAACATAAACTGATCTTTTTTTTTTCATTTAAGAATCATAAAATGGGTACTGTTCCTACTTCAAGGAAAAAAGTTAGAGTACATATTTACAACACGTACAAATAAGGATGTGCAGGGAGTTTGGGGGACAGTGGTATAGTACAGAAAGGGAATATGCTAGGGAATAGTGTACAAGGCCATCTTGAACTGTTGGATTGTTTTTCTTGCACATATTTATTCTCCTCCCTCTTATGATACCTTGGAAATTATCCTCTGGGAACTCAGCTCTAACATGGCACACTGCTTTCTTGTACATAAACATATCTCTGAGGTATTAATTTACTATACTGATTATCATAACAGTTTGAATTTCATGAAATATTTATATGGCAAATGCTGTTTGTTGCACTGTTGAAATTAGCTTACAGGGCTGAAAGCTTGGAAAGGCAAAGTGTTCATAGTGTGCACCCTTATTTCAAGAGATGTGATTAAATGGAAAATTAATCTCCTCTCATCTCATAAATGTTTATTCCTCAGGGTGAAGGCTGAGGTCATGGCAGAACATGGATAAACCTTACTAATCAGTTGTCTTCATTATTTAAGGTGTACAGATAGATCAGACCTTCTATTTATCCTGTATATGTGCTTTTGAGAGAAGCTGAATGCTAATTTACCAGTACTTTTGTCATGTTCATTAATGTCTGTAGTAAAAGTATGTACCTTTTGAAATGCTAATTTTTGGTGAGTGCTGAATGCCTGTCATTAATGTTCTAGCTGTATTTAATTCACTGACACCCCTGGCAGACGTTACACTTAAGATATGATTAACTGGTTAATCTTGTCACCTCTTAAAGTGTAACCTAATCACAATTCAGGCATCTAAAGGCATTACAAAAAGTAAAATAAGCCACAAAATGGGTAATACTTTTTTTTTAGCTGGTTTCATTGGTGCCTTAAAATGAATGTGTGGTTAGATTGACTGCACAGGGGTTCTATTGCATGCCATTAAAGTCTCTGATGGCCCCAGTCAGTTGATTGGTGGCAGAGTGGGGACCATCCCAGGGCTTGGGGGGGCGGTGGGGTTCATAATCCTTTTTTCAGTGCTAGATTTGTGGATAGACTCCTCCTAAAGCATGAAAAAATTATATCAATACAACACAATTTATGAAAGCCTGAGGTTAGGGAGTTTTTCTTTCTCTTTTTTAGGCACTTCGTCTCAGTAACTCAGCTATGGCAAAAACTACCACTGGCCAAATAGTAAATCTTCTATCAAATGATGTGAACAAATTTGACCAAGTAAGAATCATTATTGATCATCTTAAATGGATTTAAAGCACAGATTTTAATGAGTTTGGAATATGAGGTCACAGTTAGTGGCCATAAATATCTTTTGCTGGTTTACCAAACATCGTGAAATTAGGAGTGGGGAGAAGAGGATTTCTTTTTTCTAAGTGCGGCGGGGAGGGAGGAGGCATGGCAGCTCTGCTTACAAATGTATTAATGTACATATTGTAAAAACAACTTGGTCTTTCACTTTTACTTTAGAATTTTTCCAATTATTTGATTTGGTCTAATAAAAGATACCCAATTTACCCAGAAAAACCTTGTGTGCCAAAGATGGAATGGCCATGAGTTGCTGGGGTGGGGGTAGGTTGCAAGCAACAGCTGCATTAACCCTGTGTTGCCAGTGCTCTCCCAACTGCCTGCATCTGGCCTGGGAGGCTCTTTGCAGTCTGGGTCAAGCCTGTGGAGAGCTCTATGGTCTGGATGCAGCCTAGGGTCACAGACTTGTTTGACACTCCTGTTTAAAACAAATATATGCTAGGCTAAATTGATAAAACAGCATCATGTTATTGAACTAATTGATAGCTTCCTAAGCAGTTTTATTATGCTAAAGAGCATTTAACCTAAATATTGTTACATACAAATGATCATCAACACAGGCATTCAGCAATTAGGGCATTCTAGAAATGCATATGCGTTTGAGAGATTATAACTTTCCACAGGCTCCCTGCCTTATTCTCTGCTCAGGAAAGATAGGGTACAGAGTGGTGTTGTACCTGTGATGGTCCAGGAATCATACAAGAGGCAAGGCTTTTTTGTGATCTCTTTTATTGGACCAGTCATAAAGTTGGGAAAGCTGTTGGGCAAGATTTCATGCAGTCCTCCCAACTGTACAGCTGGCCCTATAAAAGATATCACAAAAAATCCTTGCTACAGGAAAGATGGTATTTAACTGAATGGGTAGGTGTTCAATATTTGGTTTTATCCTCATTGTTCAGTGTTTGGCTCAGTTTGTTTATTGCAAAGTATTCAAACTCTGCTCTAAATACAGAAGTATTACTGCTATTTATGCCCTTTTTAGGACGTTCATCACTAAAATATGTAAGAGATATGTTCATGTTTGTGAAGCAGTAGTCATGATTTCCTGGAATGGTGAGATGCAGAGGTGATGTTCATTAGCATGCAGTGGGGGTGCCCAAATTTAAATACAAAGCAGCTAATTTTTTTCCAGAGTACTTAAAGTAGGTATAATGTGTCAATGGGAGATGGGCTTTGACCTTAAGTTGCAGCTATGAGAGCTCAACATTTCTGCAAGGCAGACCCCATGGTTCAGTTCTTCAAGGTAGCTCCAACTGTCTAAACCCGAAGACCCTTTTTTTTTTTTTCCAGTAGTCCTGTGTTATTCACTTTCCAACTTTTGCAGCAGAAAAGGGATGAGTTCTGTAGAAGACAGCTTCCTGTGCTACATAATCCTGATTCATTCTCAGAGCAGGTCCATCCTGTGAAGTGAACAAGGTAGTTAGTGCTGAGGAAGAAAAGTAGCAGTGGTCCTGACCCTGAGCCAACTTGTTCTCAGTCCTCCCTGATTTTCTTCACTGACTTCTAGTCCCAGTCTCTTTTTTCTAAGCAGTCTTTCTTGTCTTTTCTTACTTCCCATGATTTTTGGTTCATAGCCACAGTCTTCTGAGACTCCGTATTTCAATTTCTCCTTTTCCTTCTTCCTTTCTCTTGCCTCTTTCATTTCTGAATTTGAATCAGATGTCTGCTGTTTACACACAGCAGGAAAGTCATTCTGAGCAAAGATGAGAGACTAGTTCCCAGATCTCATTTCTGGTGTCCTGTCTTGGCTTAGGGTAGCCATTACAAGGAATGCCCTTCTGGACCTCATGGTCCTGTATCGGGGCACGCAGGCAATCAGAGAGGTTGAGCACACTCAATGCAGACAGAGCCTTGGGAGGTTTTTTTTTAAGCTGCTAAGCTCTGCTGAGTGTGAAGACTGCCATTTTTCAGAATTTTCTTTCTTGGCTTAATTTTGGGAAAACATGGAAGTGGCTAGATCACTAGAATTTCACATAGGCAATAATACATGATTTTGTCTGTCTTCGTTCATGATGAATTCTTAAAAAATAAAATCCTAAAGTAGTGAATTGGCATAGAGAACTTTGATTAGCAAAGTTTTATAGTCAGCTGAAGGCAAGGGCTCATAGGGAAGTGCTGGAAAACCGTAGTCTTACTTTTTGCTGGTCCTACTTAGAGTATGAATGAGAGAGAAAAAGAAAACTACAAGAATACTTGAAAACAAAATAGGCTGACAAACTGCTGAGGGATTACTCTTTAGAAATGCTTTGAGGCTCTTCCTCCAGTAACTCCTTATGTTCTTTTTTCTCTCTTGTTCCCCTTTTCCTCCTTTTAATGTTTTTTTTATTTTTTTCAGTCAGAAGAAATATTTTTGATACAGGTCAGAAAGGGTTTTTCCTTCTCAATAATTGTAATTTATTTTTCTTTAATTATATCTCAGAACTGAATTGTGAAGAGCTGAGATTTTTCCCAATAAAAACATTATTTGCATAAACTTACTTAGGTTTTCTGACATTTTCATTGTTTGTACTTATGAAGGAAAGGAGGAATGAAAAGTTGGATTGAAAAGAGAAAAATAAACTTTCAGATTTTTTAAAATTGTTTCTGTTTTAACAAGTTTAACATCCTCAGTCTTTTTCTTTTCCCCTTTGTTGTTTGTTGTAAATTTTTGCATTTTTTTAATCTTCAGCTCAAGGGAATGTAAAGTTCACATGACATGTTTGCTGTTTCCTGACATTTTGAAAAGTGAGTCAGCAGGATTGTGGTCTCCACATAGACTAGAGAAAGGCAGAGATGCACATACAAATACTACTCAGTTAGTTGTAAGCTTTGTAAATGAGCTGAGAAAATGACAGATCCTGTAATGCAGTTTTTCAAGTCAGAATGAAGAAATGATTTAAGGTTCCCAATGCAATTTCCTGTGCTATAGCAAGCTGATGATCCTGATTTTAAAATACACCTTTTAGTTTTCTCCCAGTAACTGTACTGTGAGTATCCATTTCACTTTGTGTTGACTGGAAGCCATAATCTGCTGCTTCTTGGCTCCCTTTCCAGGTCTGCCAGCAACAAAGTTGCCACCTCAACTTCACATTCTCTTGAGTTGAAGCAGGAAAATGAATAGAAGTTTCCATTTTAGAAATACAAAATTACATTTAATTTCCGCTGCTGGGTGTGTTGTGCATGTGCGAATTAATACTAAAGCCTATTTTTGTGTCTTAACCATTTGTTCAGGTAACAATTTTCTTACACTTTTTATGGGCGGGACCACTTCAAGCCATAGCAGTAACCGTTCTTCTCTGGATTGAAATAGGGCCATCGTGCCTTGCAGGAATGGCTATTCTGATTATTCTTCTTCCTTTGCAAACCTGTATTGGGAGGTTGTTTTCTTCATTCAGGTAAAGTAGCTTTTGGGGCATATGTCCTCTGTACAAGTTTTGAAAATTCGTGTGTGTGGGCTGGCCTGATGCAAGAGCTGTGCATTGTCATGAGTTAGGCCCCCCAGTTCAATTTTTCAGACTTGTGCCCTTTTTTTTCCAAAAGTAGCCATTGATGTATGCTTACTAGGCCCATATTTAGCTTGGGTGTGTGACAAAAAAAATGTTAACAGTCCATTTACTTATTTAGGTGCCTTATTTTGGGGTTAAATTTTAAAGTACTTGACCTTAGCATCTTGCTGCGTGGGCTTTTGGGACTGGGAGGGCAGTGCTGCTGGCCCTTGTATTACAACCCCTCCCTCCCAAACAAAATAAACCAAAAAAGGCACTGTGTTTATTCCTGCTCCTGCTGCAGGTTTGACATGAGGAGAGAGGAGTACCAGCAAAAAGTGCTCATGATTGCTGTTTGAGACTTCTTATCAGCAAAAATGCTATGTGTAATACAGGGCCTTTAAGATGTAGAAGGGCTATGACGGAACAAGAATTAAAATTGTAGCTCCAATAATTCAGGTAAAATTTCTAACAGGAAACGTTTTAGTTTTCTGTTATAAAATAATTTCATACCTCCCCCTTTTGCAACTTTTCTCCCCAGGTTCATTAATTTTAGACTCAATTCTAATGAATTAGAGTGGGGGTTAGCAGTGTTTCATAACAGTGAACTGAATTATCTCAGCTTGGTCCTGAGGTGAGCTGGAGACAGTGGTTGTGAGATATTCCACCATGAGATGGCTCATAGTGATGGAATATCTAACAACTGCTACCTCTGTGTTGATACCTTTTTTTGTTATGCTTGACAGTCCAGTTAAAATTTCTTTATGTGGATCTGGCATTTGGAACAGACATTACACGTAAACTGGCTTAAGTGATCAGAAACTGGTTTAAACCTGTAACAGAACAGACATTCAGTGCATATAAACTAGTTTGAAAATGGCTGGAATCAGTTTGAGATAAACCTGGTTGAATGTAGATCAGACTTAACTGATTTAGCTCAAACCAGTTTATGCAATGTCTGTCCCACACCCCTTGCTGGTTTAAGTTAAATCAGAGACCCCAGCATCCCTTGTCAGAGCCTCGGCCTTCTCAGCCTCCACCCCTTTTCTTTAGCTGGGCCTTCTAGCCTG